ATCGCTATACAAGACTTCAGTAGCTACTGCATATGCTAATGCGTTCTCAATTATCATCTTATTCTTTGCCTAAATATCATCCAAGCTAGCATAGTTGACTAAAAACTCTTGATTTTTTGAGAGGAGGATTCGTCTCTTTTAGGACACTTTCATAATCTAAAATACCAGCATGCATCAGATAAAATGAGTATGTGATAGTCAGATTCACGTTAGTTTCACTAACATGTGTCGTGGATTTCCCCATCAAGGTTGTGAATCCTTTGAACCACTGGTCTACCATGCTTCTCGGTAGGAGTAGATGATTGGTCAACCACCAAAGTGTTGGTCACGTCGTGAGGTGGGGCAATTTACTCAACACGGTTATGGCATCCTATCCGTCTAGGATAAGGGTTTGATGTTGATGCGGTACGTTGATCTTTGCAGGCATATTTATAGTTGATCTATATGATCTCATCACTTTCGCTAGATTGGTAAAGACATCTGGCATGCTTTGAATAACTCTACGAAGATCTAAGATTCTTCGCACTCTGTTTCAAACTGCGCGATTGAGGATCCAAAATGATAATTCACATCAATGTTCCGAAATGGTAACGTTCTTATCTCCCTCTATGAGCGACAATACTGTCTTATAAAAGTGACAACCCGTGAAATAAGTGGTAAAGAAATCACCCGTCAAAGGGTCTAAGTAGCAAATGAATGAAGGAGAATCATATTCGACATTGATTCTTAGCATTCTCTAAGGACCCATTTTCGTATGTATGGGCAGCGCAATTGGCACATAGACAGTACAACTGAAGACGCGTAGATATGAGTTGTCGAGCTCATATCTAATTACCAACTAAAGCGAATAATAAGGTTGGGTTGTAGAAGGCACTGAGGCAAACCTAGGAAAAAAAAAAAAAAAAAAGAAACTGATATATTCTTTTCTTTTTTAAAAAAAAATACTAATATAAAGCATCAAAGTTACAATAATTTATAGAGGCACTGAAGCAAATCGAGTAATTCTAAAAAAAAAGAAACAACTGAGAACATAATAAATCAAAACCTGAAAAAGGGTCTAATAGAACTTGAACCATGAAAAACTAATCTCACAAGCTCCAACAATTGAAAGAACAAAAGACTCACAAATCGTAAAAGAATTTTGAACAAGTTTAAAATAAAAGTGAGAGATTGATATCCATTTAAAAACTATTTCAAAAGATTCACAGATTGTAAAATCATTTTGAACAAGTTTTTAAAAAAAGTGATAGACTGAAATCCATTTGAAAAACCATTGTGAGAGCAAAAACATTTGAGAAAGCTAACAGCCTGTTTGGTATCCTACCAAAAAAAATTTATAATTCTTAAAAATAACTTGGATGAACTTCTCTCAAGAACAATTTTTTTTACAAACCAAAAACTTATTTGGTATCTAACGTAGAAACTATTTTAAATCTTAAAGAATTTAGGTTATATAACCCTAAAAAACTTGTTTGTACAAAATCAGTAGGTGGCGGTGGCTAAGGGAGGATATTAAGGTCAGGTTAAGATCCGAGAAGCGACCTAGAAAATACTTACCAAGACCCAATACCTTGATGACGTGATTAGAGTGAGAGGATGGTGGGTCGGGGATAGTGGGAAGAAAATATCTCAGCCCCCGGAAAGATCCATGTCATGGTTGCAGGAACATCTCTCTCAATCATAGGAAACATATATCTCATCACTGCCAATTACTCTTAGTTGATGTTTGGTGTCGCTTGCCTCGATGCCAAGGTCTTGCAGATGTCGTGAAGAAGAAAACAAAATAGTAAAACCAGACCTTTTATTGTTCCTTGGATTTTAGGCTAGTTTTTGAGTTATTTTTTAGTTCAAATTTTGCAAAACAAGTTTACCAAACAAAACAAGTTTTTGAGTTGTGAGTAGAGAAACTATTTTTAAGTTAAAAATCTTGAACTCTAATAGAATACCAGACGGGCTCTCATCAATTAAAGACAAATAACATTAAATTCCACAAAATCCCACCCCAATAATCGAGTTAAATTATAATGCGGGTATTCTTGGGAGAGAAATTATACATAATTTGCGTCATCAACCAAGTTAAAAGAAACTTGCTTAGTTGGAGCCTAATCAATGGGTTTTTCTCAGGAAATTTAAATAGGATGGGCTAGAGGTGAGAGAAAATGAATTTTAAAGGGCAAAGTCAAATTTTCATCGAAAATTATTATTATTTTTTCTTAATAAATGATAGTATCTATAATAAGGGGGTGGTGGAGTGGGCTAAGCATTACAATGAGCATGCCATAATAATGTGATTCAACTTCGCCATTGGCGATAATCGAACATAAGACCTCTCACTCACAAGTAAAGAGGAATACCACTAGACAGTTGAAAAGTGTTAAACGTCTAGTGTGCTTTTTTTTTTTTTTTTTTTTTTGTATAAATGACATATGACTTGATAAAGTGAAAACATCCAAATGTAAAGGTTAGTACAAAGTTTGCTAGCCTTCCCAAAAAATTAGGCATTGTGGGTAGATTTTGTACACCACACCATTGGAGATGAGCTTTGAAAAAAAAAGGGCTAAGTTGGGAATTTAGCTGTCACTTAGTGCTACGGTCTAGTGATATTCTTCTTCACTTGTGATGTAGAACAAGATACAGGTCAATTCCAATAAAGAAAGAAAAATAAAATAAAATGTTTCAAATTCTGGAAAAGAAGAGATGTTGGATTCATTTGATATGGCAATGTAAAAGGTAGCAACAAATATTCTGGTGTCAAAATTGAGATCGTAATGTGGTCATAGAAGTGGTGTTTAATTCTCCTACAAAAGTGGCTTGAGCCATCTTTTGCATAAATTCATTAATAGCAGCTGTTTACTGATAAATGGAGCATTTTATTATTTGTCTTTTGGGGCAAGGGTTTTATTATCTGTCTTTTAGTTTTCTACTTAATCACCTAAGTCTTTTGTGATGCCCTAGGGGGTTGTAATTTTTTTATTTAAGCCATTTGGCTTCTCATTTGTAACCATCTTTCATCTTTCAACCAATTATCAATTATTCTTTAGGGTTTTCTCAACTTTCTGGTAGACTCCAGACTTTGGTCTATAAGGGATTACGCTGGTAACCCTTTTATCATTTCGTGCTGTGTCAATTGGTATCAGAGAAGGGGTTTGCTTTGTTCTAATAACAAGTGATCGTAGAAACAAACCTCTCTTCAATGTTGATTGTGAGAAGAAGGCTATTTGTGGCACACCAAAGATCTTCTATGGTGGTTGCAACAAGTCTTTTGTTGATGGGGAATATGCTGGAGGATTTGCCTTAAGCCAGACTCGTCAACTTGATATTCAGAAGATTCCTGGTTTTGAGGTTGGCGAATGCATTGAAGATTTTCTTGATTGGGTTGCAATTGTAGAGAAATTCTTTGAAGAAGTTACTATTCCAGTGGAGAAGATAGTCAAGATAGCTGCTCTTCATTAAAAGGGAAATATTGCTTTTTGGTGGGATAGTTTGCAAAAGGCACGAAAGAAAGAAGGAAAGAATCATATCCGACCTTGGCATATGATGAAGAGAGTTATTGTTAAGGTATGGTTCTTGTTTGAATATGATTTGTATCTTTTAAAAACTGAAAATTTTATTTTTGAAAAAAAAAAAAAGTTAGTAGAAGAAAAATTATTTGATGATCCCACATGCCAAGAAAAGATGGAAGAAGAAATTGAAGAAAAAAAAGTTGTTGATCCTATCAATATTGATGACGACAGGATCATGTAAGTTGAAATTCCCCAAGAACGCATCCATGAAAATCAACATATTGTTCAATCTGAAAATATTATGATTGACATGGTTGTAGGAAACAAATTTGATGTGGAAGTATATTTGGAGTGCAAGAAGATTTAACCAAGAAGGGGGTTAGATTATGAAGTTGTATATTATAATCTTTTGTACGGTACTAGTTCATTTGTGATTCCAAATAAATACAAAAAATATTGGGTTCCTCAAATTGAAGAATTTATTTACTCATCAAGATTTATATCAACCCTAGTTCTTTTCAAGATGAACTCAAGGGTAAGTTCATTTCAGTGGAGGAGTCTGATGTAGGACAAGATACAAGTCACTTCCAACAAAGAAAGAAAAAGAAAAAGAAAATAAAATGTTTCAAAATCTGGAAAAGAAGAATCAAAGTTCATAAATGTTGGATTCATTCAATATGGTGACGTAAAAGGCAGCAACAAATATTCTTGTGTCATAATTGGAATCGTGACGCAGTCATAGGAGTGGTGTTCAATTCTCCAACAAAAGTGGCTTGAACCATCATTTGCATAAATTCGTCAATAGCAGCAGCAGCTTTCTAATAAATTGAGCTTTTTATTATTTGTCTTTTGGGGTTTCAAGGGCTTTATTATCTGTCTTTTAGTTTTCATCTTAATTACCTAAGTCTTTTGAGATGCCCCAAAGGGTTGTAATTTGTTCATTTATGCCATTTGGCTTCTCATTTGTAAGCATCTTTCATCTGAATCAATTATCAAATTATCGTTTGGGATTTTCTCAACTTTCTGGTGGACTCCAGACTTTGGTCTATAAGGAATTACGATGGTAACCCTTTCATATATCATTTCGTGCTGCGTCAACTTGTAAATAAGAGGTCTTAGGTTTCGATTCTCGTCAAATGTAAATTTGAACCACATTATTGCTAGTCCATTGTGAAGCTTAACTGACTCCACCATTTTAGTGTAGATAATATCGTTTGTTCGAAAGTTGGGGATTTAGCTCCCAAGGCCTTACATATATGTGGGCTATACCTAATAGTAGACAATGAAACTGGATTTATATCCCCAATGTGATCCATGCCACTAATTAAAAGACCCGTTTCTCTTTGTTTAATCCCACATGTGCTCGAAACCACTATAAGAAGCACTTGAATTAATCCTTGATTGGAACTCAACGCATCGAGACCAATTAGTACCATTATTTCTAGTCAATCAGTCTTCTATTTTATCTATCCTCCAGTTTCGCGTCCAATATTCCAAATGGGTAGCCTCAACCCACGAGAAAGCAATATTAATTCCTCCCCCACAAACATGCCTAGCGCTCTGGACCCTGTGGAATTCAAGAGGCAAGGCCACATGATGGTAGACTTCATAGCAGATTACTACCAAAATATAGAGAAGTACCCAGTCCTAAGTCAAGTTGAACCGGGTTATCTCCGGAAGTGCTTGCCGGAGTCTGCCCCAGCTAACCCAGAGCCCATTGAATCCATCCTCCAAGATGTGCAGAATCACATTGTGCCTGGCCTGACACATTGGCAAAGTCCTAGCTTCTTTGCATACTTTGCTTCAAATGTTAGCATTGCTGGGTTTCTTGGTGAACTGCTTTGCACTGGATTCAACGTGATGGGATTCAGTTGGGTATCATCACCAGCTGTAACTGAGCTCGAAAGCATTGTCATGGATTGGCTTGGAAACCTGCTGACACTTCCCAAGTCTTTCCTTTTCTCTGGCAATGGTGGCGGTGTAATACATGGTAGTACTTGTGAGGCCATTATTTGCACCATGGTAGCTGCCAGGGATCAAATGCTAAGGCAAATTGGTCTAGACAACATGCAGAAGCTAGTTGTGTACGGGTCAGATCAAACACACAGTGCACTTCAAAAAGCTTGCCAAATTGTTGGTATCAACCCAAACAATTTCCGGGTCATCAAAACTACAAAGTCAACATCATTTGCCTTATCACCTGAATCCTTAAAATTGGCAATTTCTTCAGATGTTGAAGCTGGGCTAGTGCCATTGTTTCTATGTGCTACCGTTGGTACAACTGCGACCGCTGCGGTTGATCCACTGGACTCACTATGCCAAGTGGCAAAATATTATGGCATATGGGTTCATGTGGATGCGGCATATGCAGGAAGTGCCTGCATTTGCCCCGAATTTCGCCATTTCATTGATGGTGTTGAGGGTGCGAATTCATTCAGTCTTAATGCGCACAAATGGCTCTTCACTGCACTCGACTGTTGCTGTGTTTGGGTTAAAGATCCAAGCACATTAACAAGTTCACTGTCAACTAATCCCGAGTATTTGAGGAACAAGGCCACTGACTCAAAGCAAGTGGTGGACTACAAAGACTGGCAAATAGCCCTAAGCCGGAGGTTCCGGGCCATGAAACTATGGCTTGTGCTTAAGAGCTATGGCTCTGTTAACCTCAGGAACTTTCTTAGGAGCCACGTCAAAATGGCCACGCTTTTTGAAGAGCTTGTTTCCACGGACAGAAGGTTTGAGGTTGTGGTGCCTAGGGTTTTCTCCATGGTTTGTTTTAGGGTTTCACCGTCTGCTGCAATAATAATTAGTGATGATGAGATTAATGTCGAAAACCGTATAGACGAGGTTAATCGAAAGTTACTGGAGGGCATCAATGCATCAGGTCATGTGTTCATGACTCACGCTGTGGTTGGAGGTATGTATGTGATACGGTGCGCAATTGGTGTAACGCTGACAGAAGAAAAACACATAGCGATGGCCTGGAAGTTGGTTCAGGAGCATGCAGATGCCATCCTCATGAAAAATTATATATAAGATCAATCTCAGAACGTAGAATGTGTGAAGATTATGTAACACAAAAGGTTAATAATGTCCAATTTTTTCTTCTTAATTAATCTGGTCTTTATGTTGTTATTTGTAGTTTTTACAATGCTGAAAGAATAAAAACTGTAAGTGTGTTGTGGATTAATCAATTATGTTTCGATTTGGTTAGTGTAATCAAATTTTTAGTTCAGCAATCGAAATCATTGGCCGAAGATTGTTGTTGGTACGCAGTCTCTCTTTTTCTTTACGTAAAAACAAAAACGAAGTCAGGTTTGTGATGTATGGGACAAAATACTGTGTCTTGGATACTATGATGATGATGTGTCACTACCGGAAAAAATAAATTGCGAGACGACCGAGAACCGTCTCCTAAAATCAAGGGTCGTCGCTTGATCTTTTACTCGACGGAAGTTCGTTGATCAAAATTAATCGTGTCAACACCGTTGTAAATGTAGTTGCTCATGGCAACACGATTTCGTCGGTTAACTTATATTTACACGATGAAATTTTCAACCGCAATCATGCGGGCAAACTTGCGTTGACCAGGTTTTACCCAATGGAATGAAGTTTAATAGACGAAATTTTGCTGGTCGTGTCAATACTTATTTTAGATTTCAATAAATTATGCAAGGGGCCTTGTACCACAATGGTAGAAAAGTGTTGAGTCATTGCATGACAACGTAGGTTCGAACCCCATCGGTAACTAATCTAACATATGTTAGTCATAAAAATAAAAATAAAAAAACAAATGTTAGTCATAAAAAAAAAAAAACAATAAATTGCTAATTATGAATATAATTAAATTTAATATAAATATTATATAAACAAATAAAATACATACCGAGAGTTTTTCCATTAAGTCGTGCTTCACATTGTGGGGGACATACTTCCATTTGTGCGAAAATTTTTAGGTGTACCGGGTACACCAAATTTTTTTGGTGTACCCTCACTCATTAGAATTTTTTTGGTGTACAAAAAGTGAGGGTGCACCAAATTTTTTTGGTGCACCCTCACCATTATGAGTGAGGGTACACCAAATTTTTTTGGTGTGCCGGGTACACCGAAAAATCCCTCCCATTTGTGGATAGTAATAGGGCACCGAGTACGAATGAGTACACCTATGGAGCCCGAACTTGAGGACATGTTGGGCGCTTATGTCGTTCGTCATAGTCAACTTTGACTCGTCCGTTGACAGAACAATGTTCCTAGACATCTATTTAAATAAATAAATAAGACTTTTCAAAACCCTAATTTATAATATAAACTACAAACTAATTAAAATATAATAAAACTAAAATTCCTATAACCATTCCCATCCCCCTTGACCCTCCCACTTCCCCGTCACCCTTCCCACCATCCCTTCCCCCTCTCCGCGCAACTCCTCGCCTTTCTCGACACCCTTCGCTTCCCCATGCCCTTTCACCTTTCCCGTCGCCCTCTCGCCCCGCCCCCCCCCCCCCCCCAACCCACCAACTACTCCGCTTCCCAGTACGACGACGACGACAACAAAAAAATTATATAATTAATTGACAACAAAATATACCTTCAGAATGATGGAGAGAGACAGAGAGAAATGAGTGAGTGAAATTGAATGAATGACATAAATGGAAGAGTCTCTGTTGTAATATAAGGGATGAAGTACTTTACCCGATGAGCAGCTAACTCAAACGTTTTGTCAGGAAAAAAAAAAAAAAACTTTAAAAAACGATCCTAACCGACGGAATGTTACAGCATTCATCGGGTAAATCCATAATTTGGGCATTTGATTTTCCTTAAAAAAAAAAAAAAATTGGGGGGAGTTTGAAAGACGAACTATGTTAGGTTTGCCTGACGATAGGACCTTCTGTCAGGTAAACATTTAAAATTAGGGAGTTTAACGAAAATGGTCTAGCACTATTCATTCTTAATCAAAAGAACATTTTGTATATGAAAAGTTCATGATGGATCAAGCTCTTTTTTTTATTTACTCTTATCCCATTATTTTATTATTGTAGCGGGATCCACAATGATGTTGACATTTCTGTCTAGAAATACATTATTTTACATGATGTTTTTCAACTTATGCTAATTTGCTGCCAGCTCTTCATGCTTCCATCATGTTGTCGATATTATGCAGCTCTTCTTTTGTCAAATTGTTCTAGTACTGTTCATCGCTTTCTACTAGCTCTGCATCTCTTTCTCTATCTTCTTTCACCTTGTAGTACATTTCTGCTATTTCTTCTTTGAAATTTTAAGGCTTCCAATAGGGTTAATGACTGATCATTGTCTTGCTGTAAATATACATTTCTTCTTCTTTTGCTACTAAGACCATATCATACCTAAAATCTTCAAACTCATCTAAGGCTAGCATTTGGATCCCTTGAAATTTTAGAATATTTTTGTATAAAGGAGTCCACCTATGTGAGGAAATAGGGGATAGTCTAAATGACTCTTCATTAATCATGGTTATATGCACTCTTAGCTTTCTCCTTATGCATATGTACATACCAATCTAGATGACTACTAATAAAACTTAGGCAAATTTCTTTCCACTTTTCTAGATAATCTTCTGCTACTTTTATAAGTTTTTCAGGAAATGATTCTAGTTGGGAAATATGGTTAATGAATATTTGATCAAGATAGTCAAACTCTAATAGTAAGGCAAGGGTAACTTCTACCACATTATGCTATTTCTAATGCTCATAACTAAAATGACATGGTCTAAAATCTTTCATGTTAATCTTGGCCACATCTATGCTAACCTCTTGTTTACAAATACAATTATCTGTACTATCACAGAGACATGGTAGATACATCTTTGTAATAATATACATCCCTGGTTTTGGATCAAAGATGAACTGATACAAAGCACATTGTGATTGTAATTGTAACTCTTTCATGGACTGTGATGCTCTGCTTAGGATCTCATTTTGCATATCTGGTGGCATTATTCTTAATTTTACTTTTGAAATTTTTTCTAATAGGATATCATCTATTATTAAGTCTAAAGATATATTCCTAAGAAAACTTTCATATTTTTCTTGTTTTTATTTATCACTCAGATGCTGATGTTGCTCATTATTTTGATGCTACTCCATTTCAATGTCTTCTTCTAAGAGCTCAATCTTAATCTCTTCTATGGGCTCATTAGCCTCTTGTTCTATAAGTTCAATAACCCATTTTTCTTTATTCTTATGCTGATCAGTTTCCAAACCTATTTTCAATTCTCTTTTCAGGGTGCCACTTGCCTTCTGCTGCATTCTAAGAGATTGGAGTTCTTGGTTCATTTTAGTAAGCTTACTAAGTAATGACTCATGATCCTTAGAAATGACTTTAAGGTTGTGCTCAAGAGAATGAATATGATGCTGGCTTTGATTAATACTAAAATTAAAACTATTAAACTCTTGTTCTAAGGCTTTAATTTATTTTTCATGACCTAACCTCATGCTTGGAACTTTCATTTGGATATTCCAAAAATTATCCAATAGAACCTGTTGCCTATCAGAAAGCCCTGGTACTCTTGACCTATACCTCAAAGTTGGATTTCTGATTCCTTCAACAATATTGCCATTAAAGTTAAAAGTTGGTACTGGTGGTGATGCTGGTCTATTTATGCTATTTTAGAATCCATTGAATGGTGGAGGTCCATAGTACATCATTATGCTATTAAATGATGCTCTTCTGCCTTGTGGTATTATGCCATTTGAGGATGATGGTCCACGATATTCATTCATGTTCAACAAATTAATCTTGATAAGATATCAGCTAATGTATTGTCATTTTCTTTTATATGTTCAAAAATTGGTTTAAAACCATTTCCTGTAATTGAATCAATAAAATTAACCCATTTTTAGGCTGCCTATTTATTAGCATGTATTTTTTTGTAATAAGAAACTATATTTTGACAATCTATTCTAATCGTAAATACTTCATTATGTAAAAATAAAGAAAATACTTCAAGTGAGTTAATTATTCCTAAAATTTCTAAATTTGTTGATAGTAATCTTGACCGTACATTAGTAAATTTTCTGATGAATGTCTACAAACTTGTTCGTCAAACTTTGCTGACTCCTTATGCTTTTTCGAGTATAGTATACCTGCCCATCCTAATGATGAAGCATCTATTTCAACTATTTTGTAACTATCATCTAATGGTAATGTTAATGGCTTAAGTTTAGTAATTTCTTCCTTTATATTTTGAACTAATTTAATATCTTCACTATTAAAATATTTTTGTCATGTTTTGCTAGTTTTACTATGTAATACTGTTATTTTTCTTCCTAAATCTAGGATAAAATTTCTTGCATAATTTAACAATCCTAAAAATGCTTGTAACTGTTTCTTATCTTCTAACTTATCTGGAAATTCTAAGACCTTTTTAGCTATATAATCTTGTAATTTTATTGTATCTAACTTGATATACATTCCTAAAAATTCTATATCTTGTTTTTCTAATTCTATTTTGATTTTGCTAATCACAATTCCATTATTGATAAATTCTTGTAAAACTATCTCTAAATGCTTCCTATATTCATATCTGTGACATCCCACATCGCCCAAGGGAGTGATCCTTATATGTATATTCTCATTTCTACCTAGCACAAGGCCTTTTGGGAGCTCACTGGCTTCGGGTTCCGTAGGAACTCCGAAGTTAAGCAAGAAGGAGGCTAGAGCAATCCCAGGATGGGTGACCCACTGGGAAGTTGCTCGTGTGAGTTTCCAGAAATCAAATCGTGAGGGTGTGGTTGGGGCCCAAAGCGGTCAATATCGTGCTACGGTGGTGGAGCGGGCCGGGAAGTGTTTCCCCCTAGGTCGGGATGTGACAATTTGGTATTAGAGCCTAACCCTGGTCGCGTGTGTGCCGACGAGGACGTCGGGCCCCTAAGGGGGCTGGATTGTGACATCCCAAATCGCCTAGGGGAGTGATCCTTATATGTATATTCTCATTTCTACCTAGCACGAGGCCTTTTGGGAGCTCACTGGCTTCGGGTTCCGTAGGAACTCCGAAGTTA